AGCGTCCGTACCAGTCAGTGTCTAGGTTTTGCAATGCAGCACTGGTTACTTTCATGCAGTGGTGGCGATTGGACTGCGTGCAGATGGAACTGCTCTTTGGTTGTTACGACGTGACTGATGTCACAACTCCAGCGAGGCAGATTGGCCTTCATCGCCGCCATGGCCTTCATTGCCTCGTGTGGAGGTTCTCGACTTATATCGAGTTGGGAAGAGAACAAGGAAGCGCCTAAAGAGACCACTGATGCGGCGAAACGATCAATTCCGCAGGTGATTATTGTGCTGGGCCCTCTTCACCGGCCTTCATGGGCACAGCTTTGCCCTGGCGACTGCAGTTGCATGTCGCGTGCAACGACACGCAAACGAGAATCGCGACCATGCGTGAAAACGAAGTGTCAGGGTAATGCAGAATTGGGCATGGCAACATGGCACCACGTGCACTTTGAAGTGCTACATAGTGCTACTTAGAACTTAGAAGCTGGACATGGATTCCAGTGAGTGCTGACTGCTACTGAATTTGGCTAGTATGTCATCGCTATACTGGAAATGCACATCGTACGCTCGCTGAACGAAAAGCATGATGAAGACAGCATGACCTTCTATTCAAGCCATACCTGTGGACAAGCTGCAATCAACCAAATCCAAAGGTAAGCAAAAAGTCAGGCAAGCAAGCTGTGCCAGCTAAGAAGTCCAGGGACTACGAAAGAAAAAGCCACGAAACAACAAACAACTCCGAAAAGCTTGTGCAGCTTATCTACCAGGCTTTCTCCAGACACGGAAAACCCTGACGCATTTCGTGCCTTCGCCCCCGCTTTTCGGCGCAGGCCTCTTCACTTCCACCAAATTCTGCTGCACAAACTTGCGCAGAGAATGAAAGATCCAGCGCCAGAGACGCTCTTGCAAACCCGACGCGCACAAGCAAACCCGTGCAGCACAGGTGCATGCCAGGACATGCCGTGCAGGTTAATATGGCAGAGGTCACGAAGACAAGAAGAAAATCCTGGCCCCCCGTGTCTTCTGCCTCTTGGATGCTGCTTTGTTTTCAAGGAGGCACGTGACTTTTCCCACGGCATTCTGAGTACTTGTTTCAGCCTGCATGCGCAGTTCATCCTGGACAAGTGCACGAAGTGTTACTGCCCAAATGCCAACCATGATCAAAGTTATCACAGTTCTTGCAACTTGCACTTTTGTTGCCGGCAAGTTGCCGGGTGAATCGCAGGCTTCCCGCGTATTAATCTGGCTTTCTTGCGCATCGCAGCAGAATTGGTGGGTCGCGACGGCACTGCCAGACATGTCTGTTTCTTGCTGCTCGGTTGGGCTTGCTGCGGAAAGCAATGCTTTGCACACGAATCGGCCGAGTGGCCGAGCCGCGCGGCGTCGAAATCAGGTCTGCTTGTGCTAAAATTTCGAAAATTCCAAAACTTCCAAAAATCTATGCCCTATCTGGCAGAGTCGGTCCTTAACATTGGGGGAGAAGTTTAGAAATTTTGGCAGTTCTGGAAAGAAAGGGGGAGGGGAATTTTGGAAACTTTGGAAGTCAGTTGGGGAGAAGTGATTTTCGCCCATCCGTTGGAAGAGCATGCCTGGGGACGGACACCGCCCGTCCCCTTGCCCACGACGGTCTGTCATATGGGCGGGGGGGGGGGGGGGGGGNNATACGTATACATATACACATACACATGCAGATGCTCATATACATGTACATATGTATATATATATATATACATATCTACATATATTTATATATACACGTTTGTTTATATATCTACACATAGATACACATACACGCGTGCGATAGATGTAAACCACGCCAAACCTACCCCGGGCTATGAAGCTAACAGAACTAGTTACAGAAACACACTGCCAAATACACGTGCCATGCAAACATTGCTCTGCTTGTATTCGGGATAATCGGCAATCGGTGTCTAGTTTGTTTGTTTGCTACACTAAGTGAGGGCGTGTTTTGTGGATGGCGTGCTGAATCAAACTTGACAGAAGTACGTCATGGATCCCACACAGCCTGCTTGAACATGCAAACAGCTCACACTACAACTGGCATCTTCAGGTCCAAGTTGCCGCCGTAAATCCTCTTCGCCAGCTTGAGAGCCTCCACAGGGTCGCTCTCCTGCTGCTGTGCCTGCCGTCATTTCGAGCGCTGACTTCGGGCCAACGCATACTTCCGTGATGGGAAGGGCTTCAAACGTGGAGACGCAGCGCGACGATGGGACCAGGCCTTTTTCGTGGCCTTAGACCAAAGACCAGCCATGCTTGTCCTGAGCTACAGTACGGGTTTCTCCTGCTGCTGTCAGAAAGAGCTAACCAGAAGCGATTAGGTTTATGAAGCAGCGCAACGAAATCTGGGCGGGCGGACATCGGACAATTCTTGCCAAGGCACGAATCGGTACGAGAGGACTGGGGAGGACCGGAAGGCGAGCTTGAACAGGCAATGGCTGCAAGCCCACTGCTAGAATCTCGCACGCAACTGTTTCTTGCCCGGTGCACTCCAATACATGGCGTGAAGTGCTGGCAAGTCGTCATTCCACAGCATGCTGCATCGCTTCATGCTCATGCTTGCGTGTCAGTGCTCCTGTTGCCACTCCTGCTATTCTATATTGACAAGAAAAAGCGAAGATGCTCTGTTCGTCTCAACGCAACGACGACAGTGACAAAGGCGACGACAACAACCACTGCTACAACTACTACCACCACGGCTACTTTTCAAAGCCGGGCTCGGATCCTGCATCAGCTGGGACTCGGCAACAACAGCAACTACAACAACAACAACGGCAAAGGCAACAGCAACGGCAACGACAACAACAACTACTACTACACCTACTCCTACTCCTACTCCTACTCCTACTACTACTACTACTACTACTACTACTACTACTGCTACTACCACTACTACCATACTACCACTACTACTACTACCACGAATACTACTGCTACTACTACTACTACTACGACTGCTACTGCTACTGCTACTGCTACTGCTACTACTACTACTGATAATGACTGCGACTGACTACTACTGACTACTACCACTACAACTACTACTACTACTACTACTACTACTA